TAACTATTTCAAAACAACAATAACAACGACGACGACGACGACGACGCCGACGACGCCGAAGACGCCGACGACAACAACAACAGCAGCAACACTTTCTAATCACTGGCCAATCAGGATCGCTGCAGGGCATGTGGGGGCTGGAGAAGGATTCTGGAATGATTGATCAAGCATTGGGCGTAGTGTTCCCGCACTCACTGTGCTGCCTCCTTCCAGTATATCCCATCCATGTTAGTTAGAGTGGTTCGTTTTAGGTTCTCACCTGGGTGGTTGTTGACGCATGGGAGAATGGGGAGAATGGGGGAGAATGGGGACAGTTGGTCACACGAGTGGGTCCCGAGGCCCCGCCGGTCAGGGCGGTGCACCACGACCCAAGGGCTCGCCCGACGCTCCCCCTTGGGCCAATCAAGCCGGGCAAACAGTCCACGGGTTGGCGGTAACCCGCAGGCTGCAGCCCAACCCAACCCCGAAGTGAGTCAAACCGCTCAGGCTACAGATTTGCCCAAGGGCGGGGCGGTTAAACAAATTTCGTGACAATAACGACAACGCGTCATCCCGTGCATCGCATCAACCACAGCATATATATATACATACATACATACATATATATACATACATACATACATACATATATATACATACATACATATATATACATACATATATATATATATATATATATACTACTATTCTGGTTATCCTGCCCCATCCCCTTCACAGCGCCAACGGGCTTCCCAGGTTCACTGTTTGGAAATCGCAATTGAAAAGAACAGAGAAATGAATAAATACATAAATAAATAACGGGCAAGGTCGGGAAAGCTGGACGATGATGCGGCGAGAGGGATATGTTTTGGCAGGGCATTCCCCCCCCCCACAACGACAGGTGATCCGGTATCGGCCCATGTATATCCTTTATCCACGAGAAGCGTGAGACAGATAAAATCAAAAAGCCCTCGTGGATGGGAAATTCTAGACGTCCAAGAACAGGTTCTGGTGATTGACTAGATACAGCAAGCTAGACTAGTTGACTGATACTGGTTAGTTACGTGTGTGTGGTGTTGACAGGCTGACTTGGGCCTGGGATCTGGCTCCCCTCAGTTCGGTCAGTTCAGTGGTATATGATGGCCATATATCATCAATGATGGAGAACAGCAACATCAATTGGCCACCTAACTCCGCGAGCAACCAACAAGTTAGTCAACTGTATTACTGTTATCTCATAATCAAAAGATTCCAACTAACTATTTCACTAAACCTACGAACTCGCTAAAGGAGTTGAGTTATTCCAGATCCACCCTGGAACAGGAATTTACAAAAGTCGTTCGGAACGTTTATCAGTGGGGGCCCCCCACCCCCCACCTTTGAACACCATCGTTCGCTAATCACATATCACACATATTACTAATAGCTACAGTTCTATTCAACCCCTCGACATCAGGGTTATTGAAGGCAGATTAGAAGTTAGGATTAGGTTAGGATTAGAGTTAAGAGTAAAAGCCTGAGAAATATCATAAAGTCACTGATTTATAATAAGCCACACTGAAGATGTCTCTGGCTGAGATTTTTTAAAACAACATTCAATTGTTGCAAGGAATGCAAATGGGGGTTCCTTTCGCGTTCAATTGCTCACAAGGTAGCGGGGAGGAACATGAAGCCGCTTTGACTTTCACATGGAAAAACATGTGACATAATAACCCTTGCGGGGATTTGATCAAAACAGATTACAGCAAGATTCCAAACACAACGGATCTATACATATCTATATTGGACAATTGAGATTGGATGGGAGTAAATATGAAAACTCAAAAAAACTCACACCACCGCAGCCGTCACATTCCACATATCATGCACCCCCCATGCACCGGCAGTCATACTAAGCAGCCCAACAAGCTGATCCGGCACACCAACCCCGCCCTCAAAACTCCAATGTACGCACAACGGCAGCCAGGCCAGGCTATTCAACAGACTTTTCTTCCACCCTCTCACCTCCGCCCACCGAGCACTCTCCTTCTCGCGCCCCCCGGGCTCCCCCTCCCCCTCTCCCTCTCCCCCCTCCTCATCCCGGTTTCCCTTCTCCGAATGCCCAACATCACCCCACACCTCAGCGTCCTTCTTCCGCATCTCCCTGGCTAACACATACTCCCTCCAAACCCTCACAAACTCCAACAGCACATGTGCCAACCACGCCCGCGTACTCCACACATACCACTTCCCCAAAGACCCCCACCGCTCCACCGCTCGCCTGTTCAACACGCCCTTGGACGCCAGATGTGCCACGTTCTCTAGAATCTGGTACAGGACGTTCACGGTGACTTGGGTGCAGGCGATTGTGCGGAGGATTGGGTCGGCGGGGGGCTTTCTGACGGTTGCGGAACCCCAGGACCAGAGGGAGAGGAGGCCCAGGAGGCGCAGGGTTGTGCGGGTTTCGGACATTAGGGAGGAGAGCGCGAGGAAAGGCGGGGGCGGGGGTGAGGGCGGTGTTGGTGCTGTTTTCGGAGTAGGGGCTTGTGGTTTGGATCGACTGATAACGTAAGGCCGGAGCAAGGCGTGCACCCGCGCGAGGAGTGCGCGGAATGGCGGGGAGGCGAGGAGGTAGTGGATCATTTGAGAGTTATACTGGATTACTGCGAGGAATCGCTCTAGGCCATATGCAGTGGATGTGAACCTGTTTCATTGCGTGATTTTTTTTTTTTTACTTCTTTTCCCTTCGCGGGACCTCCGCGGAGGGAACACAGGACGCTTGTTAGATGGGGCTTCAAAATGGGACTTTAGCTTTACAGAGGAGGTTTGTGTAGATTCGTCTACACGTACTTGTCCAACCGCCGGATTGCCACGTCCATTTTCGCAAGGGCGCATAGGGATGCTGTGCGTGTAGCGGGGATGCCGGAGGCCTCTGGAGAAGACTGCGCCTCCCTAGGTTGGGAAATTGGGTCCGATGACTCTACCATCTTTGGGCTCGTTTCGTGTATAAAAACAATAATTAAAAAAATGATATATATTTTTAAGGGGCAGCAGCAGAGCAGTGTCTTTCTCTGGCATTGTTGTTGTGTTGGCGTAAGTGAATAATCATGTTAGCCTTGCAATTACATCCGAGGTCTATGTCACGTGGTGAGAACTTTGATCGGTCAAAGGTCAAAAAAGTTGGACATGGTTTGAATGGGTCCACTTTATTATAGCCAATGTTCAGCTCTCCATCCTCAATCACATGATTTATCGCATACAATTCACATGAAGGGTTTGTTCTGGTTGAATTTCAACAACCTTTTTCTGAACAAATCATGTTCAACTGTATGCTCATAATATTGTCTTCAAAACCCCCTTGCTGATGATAAAATCAACAGTTCTTCTTTCAAGTTCCATATAGACTTCAGGGACACTTACCTCAATTGTAGATGACAAGGAAAACACGCATATAGTTAATACATAGTTATACAATTACATGTGGATTAGTTTTAGCGAATGCACAACAAAAATTCAAATATCAAACGCCATTCCTCGCCGTATCCCGCCTCATTTGCCCACCATTTACTTCTATTTGCCCTCCCATGAACCCCGTGACATTGCGCTGCCCGTGCCAATATACCATTTGCAAACGTCTAGACTTGTGCAAAAATATCTCCATCAGCGGTGTCCAACAGTTTGTCGATGGAGGTAAGACCCAGATCACCACTATCTCCACCAATTCCCCGCTCACGAGGCTGGACAGTGAGCTTGAACTTAGCCTTTCGAGATAAGCTAGGCGCTGAGCGGCTGTTCCGCGGTGGTACCAGTGGCGGCCTATTCTTAGATCTCATCTGCTGTGCAAATGGAGTTGTTTCATCGGCTACTCCTGTTTCCACATGGCTCCAATGCAGATGCAAAACCTTGCTCAGGCTTCTTGATTCATAATACGCTTCGTCGGTCGCTTCATCGGCGTCATTCCCATCATCGCCTCCCTCCTTTTCCATTTCATAGTCCCGTAAAACTGCATGGTAGCTGTCGCCATCGGTATCCGACTCATTACCCGCGCACGCTGCCGGGTTTACACTTCCGCCATGTTCGTCATAATATTCATGATACTCTCCACCCCAGACGCTCTCATCGGCTATATCGCAACTTGGCCGTCCCTTGGTCTCCAGTGACTGCATCTCCCGAATCCTCCTGGTAAGGAAAGCGTCATCAACGCTAACTCCGACATCTATCAGGGATTCTAAGAGCTGATCCTTTGATATATGGCCACTTGTACACACCCGATTGACGCTCAACCAGCTTCGCTCGGCCGCCATTGGTAGGCAGGTGTGGCAAACCCGCAAATGGCAACTGGGGATATAGACGGTTGCGAGCGAGCCGCATTCGGTTGGAGGCAATGAATCCGTAGTTACGTCAGCACAGGTCTCTTCCGATACGTGTTCTGGATCCTGCAGCTCTTGAGACGGCAATGGTGGCAGCGCACGACTCGAATTGTGGTTCACACAGTGGTAGGTGTTAATTGTCTTGAGAACCTCTGCTCGCTGTGCTTTTATTCTCTCCACCTGCTCGGGCGTATAGTGTCCGCTCTCGATGGCTTTCGCGACCCAACCATTCAAGTGAATCGCATCTCCGGTCTCAAAGTTGCTGGAAGGACCAGTGGACGTAAGTCGAAATCGTTCCCAGTATTCAGCCACTATGCCATGCCTGTCCCTGTCCTCCGTGCAAGCATATACCCAACCAAGGTCTGGCTCTCTATTACAATTGAGGCATATCACCGGGTGATCATAGGTGCTATACTCACGTGCAAAGCTAGAGTGTGTACAGTTGGCTTCACGCGTCAGAACGAATGTTTTTATTGCTGCACCTTGGAGCAGGAGTTGTTCAGAAACTTGAGAATTCATGACTCTTTTGTGCAACCAACCATCAGCAAGGCTGAGTTAAAAATAACGACAGTAATGCAAGACCGCAAGAGATGAAGGAAAGTATGGGATTGTTCTGGAACATGCTATATGATGCTGTCCTTCACACCAACCAGTTCTTGTACACAGGAAGAAACTCGAGAGGAGGACAAGACCTGCAGAAGGAAGAATGGAAGAGAAGGAGATATATCGACCTGAGACGCGTTGTGTTGCTGTGACGATGTCAGGAGGATTCTGGAATTCTTCAGAAAATATTCCCTTGCCAACCACCAGCGAGCCAATGCTCAATGTCGATGCCCCGAGTACTTTGAGCGAATGCCATTAAGCTTCTAGTGAGTCAATATCGGACAAAGCTTCTTTGGCACTTTGTGAAGCTGGAGCCTTAATGATTCAATGTAAGATAGTGTCGGAAGCGTGTAACATACCCAAGCTACTGTGTTTTATTGTCTCGTCGCTCGCTCACTGATAATACAACGGGGACAAGGATTGGCGCATATACGAAATTGCCGTGTTAGAACCAGGAGTGAGAGCTAATGGGTTTGATGGGGGTGTATTTTTGTCTCCTGTGTTTATGTCGGTAGACAGCACAAGCCTTCCGAGGTGCGACAGTGCGACGGACAGCCGCCTGGCGCTTGGAACAACGGCTACATCGAGATAAATAGGCTAATACCCCCTTCAATCAGGTCAATGGGTTATATAATCCCAATAGCTTTGAAGCTTGAGTTCAATGACGCCCTCAATGGATTTGAAGCTCTCTAAAAGTTACGGTGCACGCTGTTGACTATGTGGCGCCTGTTAGCTGATGTAGTTACCTAACTAGTTCCCATCCGGAGTGTGGGCTCACGGAAATCTTCACAATCAAGCTTAAACCCACTTTTGCCGTTTCTGTGCCTTGGGTGCTTAACTCCTTAACGCCAAAATTAGAATCTCCTTATGATATTAGATGGAGCTACGTCGCTCACAAGAAATTTCTAAGCGCACGGTATATCGTGTACAACTTGGAGTCAGATTTATGAAGACGCTGGATGTAACCATAGGTTCGAGTCTGGTAGAGTGTAGCTGAAAACAGTTTTAACAACTTACTCCTTTTCGCAATTAACATGTGCTAATTCTCAAGACTCATGTAAGGAACAGCCAATGCTAGGTTATTGCCTTGAGAGGTGAGAGAGGCAATGTTGAGTTACAGCATGTGGTATGTTTTGCCGCGTGGTGGGTATTGTAGGTAGAAGCCAAATAAAGAATCTTAAGCGCTGAAATTCATACGGGACTTTATTAACGCTGAGAATCTGCCTAAAGAAGTGAATTGCTAGTACACTGACAGATTTGACAGGATTGCAACTGCTGTATTTAAGTCATTAGGCTCACCTCCGTCAACCCATCATCAGGCATGGAAATCCCTGTGATCAACAAAATTAGTGATGAAAGATGAAGGACTTTGGCACAAAGAAATATGCCGTGGGATACACTAAGTGCTTTTCTTATTAGAGGACAGGATGGCTGTAGGTCGCATTCAAAAACTACCAGTGTGACGGAACCGAAAGAGGGCAAGATTGATGGTAAGCTGATATGGCCCATTTGCACCCCACGGAATAACAGCTATCTCGACCACCCCTTCTTCATTTACATCTGGGCTTCCCGAACCCGTATATTCTGAGGGAGAGGGTGGTGGAGCGCGCAGGGTGGGGACAAAAGAACTGGCACGTTTGACATGGAGGAAGAGGTAGGAGAGTAATGGCGGCCGACCTATTTCTGGTCAAAATACCCTTTGGCGAAAGGAGATCTTTGTTTCTCAGGCGCGGCTGCTGGCGAATCACAGGAACCATGACTTGAATTCGGAACCCTGGAACCGTTCTAGCTGGCGTTGTGGGTGCCTGAAGAGGTCGACGACCTCCTTTATTTGCTGGGGTTGAAATCCCATCACGACACGTTGCCCGATTCCGAGCTAATGGAGTCCCTTCGTATTCAGAAACCCTCCTTCTGATGCATATAAGAAATTTTATCTGATATTATATATGCATATCTTTGTGTTCACTTGGCATAATGAACGTCTCGGCTTATTGGTTTATAGAGCTGCTCTCTTTGGCTTATCCACATTATGCATGTCCCGAAGTCTCCATTTACCAGACAATTTGCTATTTCCTGGTAATCGATTCACTTGGGGATGCTTGCATTTATATCAACTCCGGCCAGTCAGGTGTAAGTTTTCTGCTGGAAAGGATTGCGTGGGAACTCAATGCCCTGGAAATTGATGTGACAGTGTCACCCAATGCATCAGACACCAGGTCAAGATCACAGTTGACGATTGTATGATTCCATTTCAGGAGAACTGCGGTAACAGATGACTCGTTGATAATATAACAAATGGTACGCCGAAGTGGCGGTGGTATATCAACCCTGTGCCGCTCATAAGACTGGCTGATTGAGAATGTCATCAGCATCTCGATAAGGTTGAGTAGCTAAATCAACCCAGTCCTCAACGCCCTCCAGGACTCCCATCCTGGATTGAACTTATTGGCGCCTGACTTGACATTGGTTCAATTTAAATCAGGGTCGACAATCGAAAGATACTCGAGCGGGGTTGACATGTCGATGGGCATGAAAGAAGTGTAATTCAATCAGAGTAAGCAAAGTGCTATAGTCCGGACTGACTACTGGCACACGCGTTCCTCAAAAGTAACGGAAGCAAAAGAGAAAGTGATTGATGTGGTCGGGAGAAGGGGAGGTTGATTGTGAGGGCACAAGGGGAATGAAAATTCATCGTCTTCGTGTTGAGACGTTCCCACCTATTTATTCAAGCAAAAATAATGACAGTTGAGATGCTTAAATAAATATGAAAGGCTGTTAAACGGCGCTAACCCTTCCTGTTATACTTGCTATCTCTTCTAAAAATCGATAGGGATGTCGACAAATAAAATCTAAATAGCTATTTAACAGGGCAGTTTTGAACGCGGAATTCTCAGTCCACAAAGATGAAATTTCTGCTCGCCAAGTCGTTCACGGTGCCACCGCGCACTTCCTCTTCAGTTTTGGCGGTGGTGAGGGTTAAAAGGCCTCGATGCCGTTTCAACTATAGTGGTGGCCGTGAGCCAAGAATGACATAAAGCCGGAAAGAGAGACTTAGTTTCTGAAGTCGGAAGAACAAGAGCTCTAGGATCATATTTTCCCATGTAATGTTCCTTACAGCGTCTCTCGTGAACGGCAACTTCGCGGAGTTGAAATCCATAAGAAACCCTCGACCGTCATTCGAATACCATGATTTTCCGTGAGACCAAGTCACTATACGCAATACCAGAGAGTGAAGACTATTCAATTTGTCCTGTAGGCTCCGAACTCGACGGAGTTCTATAAGCTGTTTGGACAGTTCATTCAATCGATGATTCATGAAATAATCCGCGAATATGGTCTTCCTCTAAATATATCAGATCTCCGCCACCATTCGAATGACTTGCGTATCTTTATCTCTATGCTGCTCATCTCAGCTTTACTGAACGTCAGCCAACCGTAACAGTGAGGCCCAACGAGTTCGTTCTCAATCAAGCGGCCATACACTTGACACGACGATGAAGGCATCTCAATTCCAGGCAAGTCTTTCAAACCATAAGACTTGCGAGCGGGATCGTATGATGAGGATGTACTGAGAGGAGAGTAAGTGTAAGTGATAGTTTCCCTGTCCATGAAAAGAATCTACACGCCAGTTGCAAAGCGTAGATTTTGCCCTTAAGTTGCACTTTGATACATAATTATGACCTGCGGAATCCAGCAGCTTGAGAAGCTTATCTTGGAAGATACGTCCTGTATGTCTTTGATATAAGGGCATCCCCTGTGTTTCAACCACTGTAACCAACATGTATACCCCGCTTCCGTCTGGGTTTGAGGTTCCATTGCGAGAGAAGCAAGCGTGAAAGGGCCAGGGAAGAAAGCAACGACCTGTTGGAGCGTGTTATCCCCAAGGCTTTAGATAGACCTGTTCCAAGGTTGTCCAAAGAGCAGCCCTATCCCAACGTGAAATGTCAATTTCTGCAAGGAAACAGCTTTCGAAACCTATCAAGATATGGATCATGTTTCCAAAATTCAAAATATTTAGCAAAACGGATGATATTTTACTTATAAATATTAATCGGGGCGATGATTATTATCCCGGGTATTGAGAGGCAGCATTGCTGCCACCAGTGGGATATTGACAACGTCCATTATTCCAGCTAACCGCAATGCAATGGTAAGAAACAACATGTATCTTCTAGACTAGATATTGATCAAATCCCACATTACCAGTCGGTAAAGCCCCAAATTGATGAAGGCGGTTAGCCGGGGCTGACTAAAGGTTGTGCTGCCAACGACCTCGGCATGGGGTAAGCCGCAATCGCCAATCATAAACAAACAAGCTGCTGTCAGCTTCCAGCCTCCTCTCCCTATCTTTTCAGCTGCATGTCAAACCAACCGCCCATTCTAGAGTTGGTAGTTTAAATCCTGTGCGATCCCACCCCCTTCGCGGTCCTGATCACTTGCTCTCATCCTTCAAGGCTGCTGTGATCTATCCCCCAGCTCAAGACCCATCGCGCCCCTATCGAGGAACAAGACGAACTATCTAGCAGCGCAAACATGTCTGTCAAGTTTGACAAGGTTGTCTCCCATACAGTGGAGAAGGTGAAGGACAAATCGAAGGATGACCTCGTGCACAGAGTTGGAGATAGGCTGACCGGCGGAAGGTCGAAGGCTGGATACTTGCAGGTGTGCTGCCCCTTATCTTCCTACCTCCTTTAAAATAGCGACATCACTGACATATATGTGGATCACGCACCTACCCATACTTCAGGCGTACTTGGAGCAACTTCAATCCAACCCCCTGCGTACTAAGATGCTGACCTCCGGCACCTTATTCGGTCTTCAAGAATTTCTGGCCTCGTGGATCGCGCATGATCGGAGCCAACATGGCCACTATTTCAACTCCAGAATACCCAAGATGATGCTGTACGGCTCCCTGGTCGGCGCACCGCTTGGCCATCTCCTTATTGGCATCCTGCAAAAAATATTCGCAGGCCGTACCAGCCTCAAAGCAAAGGTCCTTCAGATCCTCGCCAGCAATCTGATTGTACGTAAATCCTACACAATTCCCATTCAAATCAGAACCATTCGCACTATCGGGATGCTGACCCCATGTTTCTGCCGTATGTAATAGATCTCCCCAATCCAAAACACCGTCTACCTGGCCTCCATGGCCATCATCGCCGGGGCGCGAACATTCCACCAGGTCAAGGCCACTGTCAAGGCCGGCTTTTTGCCGGTAATGAAGGTCAGCTGGGTTACTTCGCCCCTGTCCCTGGCTTTCGCCCAGAAGTTTCTTCCGCAACACACCTGGGTGCCATTCTTCAATATCATCGGCTTCATTATTGGTACATATATCAATGCCCACACCAAGAAAAAGAGACTTGAGGCATTGAGGCGCAAGGTGCGTTGAAAATTCCACATTTTATATTTTGCTCAGGTGCCCTGTCCGCCTCTTATGATTTTGCTGTTGCTAACCTCACCTCACCTCTATTCGTACTTGGGTTTTCTCGCAGCATTATGGCTCTGGCAAAAGCGCAACAGGCCGACCAGAGGATTATCCAAGACGGGATTAAAGCACAACAAAATAACGCAGGTGCCAGTGAATGATCCCTCTCTCAGCTAGCCCACCTGTGTAATTATGTTGCTTTTGTATGAATGATCATAGATCAAGGTATTTTTTTTTTTGGAACTCTGAAAGAGGGATATGTACGAATCACGAGAGAGTCCTGGAATAGTTATTTCAGTTTTCCCACGAAATTTTGATTATATATCCTTCATTCTCTTCTTCTCCCATCTCCCATATATTCCGACCCTGGTACTTTGTTTACGACGAAATATTTAGCTATACATTGGTAGAAGGAATTTTGTTATGTTATATGCCCTGTACTTCCTCTCATCTCCCAATTCTTTCTGGTGACTTCCCTACAGGTAGTTACAGTTTTATTGATTTCTGAAAATCTGGCAAGCTCCTTGGTTATTTGGGTTTTGTTTCTTTTTTATTTATTTTTTTTTTTCTTTGTCTGAGTTGGACTACATTATATGTTTTTCTCAATGTTATGTCCCCATTCCCCCTTTCTTCTCTTCCGTCTTAGAGAGATCTAACAAATTTTATTTTCTGTTCATATAGTTGGTCTAAACGTACCATTGTTTGAATAGCTTCCGTTTGTTTAGCATTTGCCAATGGTGATCTTATATAAAAACCTAGGCGAAAAAGTACCATAGTCATTCGAACCGTAGCTGACAGTGCTGGGGTATTATTATATAGAGCTAACGGTGCTATATTGCATAGACCATGCTCAATGACAGCTTTTACCTTCACCCCCATTCGTAAGAGAGGTAGGTATCTAATTTACCTTCAAATGAAACATAAATGTGCGAAATATTTGTCTAATAGAGCCTTCATATGCTGCTCAGTAAGTACACACTGTGCCGACCGCATGGATATAGCTAATCCGCTCGACAAGCTTACGCAATAGAGATAGGGGTTCCATTCTCTTATTTACTGATACCACCTCCAAGTGCAGATATGAACCGGATGACCCCACGCCAAGCAACCGAGAAGGTAAAAGGAATCCATATCATATATCTAAAAGCAAAAGAAACAAATACAACGCACAACACCCTCAAGCCCTACTCAAGCATCGACGCCTGATTAGTGTACAAAACATCCACGACATTCCCAAGTTTCTCCAGCGTCTCGAGTGCAGCATCATAACCCTGGTCTCTCTCCACCTCATCGAAGACAATTAGACAACCGGCCCCCTGATCCAGCACGCCTATAATGACCTTATCCAAAATCATCTGTGACAGTTTCCTCTCCACCTGCTGCGTATCCAAGCCGACCATCTTGGCAATATGGTCGATCTCCACCCTACTAAAGGGCTCAATGACTTTAATCAGGTTCTGTTCCAACATGGCATCGTAAAGGCGCCGGAGGTGGTTGCGGATAAACACATCACTGCCCAGTTCATATCGATAGTCATTCAGCGCTTTCTCGTACTCTTCCAGTGAGCGGTTGGAGTGTGCGCGGGCAACGGCTTTCATGGCCTCGAGGCTCGTGCCGGCATATCGCAGGGCTTGCTTGGAGGCGAGTAAGGAGTTAACATCATTGACAGCATTGAGCATGATTTTGCATAGGAGCATATATTGCAGGGCGGAGGTGGCTTTGCTTGTTTCCTCTTGAGAGTGGTAGCCTTCCAGCGCCTCGATAAAATAGGAGAAGGCGGTGGTGAAGTCTTTGTCTTCTGCGTGGAGCATGCCGCTCTGCATGTCTAGACCCGCTTGCAGGAGCGGCGGGGTGTAGACGGACGCTGCTGAGGTTCTGGCTGAGGTCAATGCGGCACGGGCTTTTGGTTGGTTCCCGAGAGCGTGGTAGACGCGGGATTCCAGGAGTTGGACTTCCACCAGCACGAGCTTGTCGTCCAGGCGTTTGAGTTCGCGGAGGAGGGAGTTGATTAACGTAAGGGCATCATAGTATGACTGCTTTTGCATGTATATGGTGACAAGCCGTGTCTCGAGGTTCTGGCGGAGAAACGATCGTCGTTCCGATACTGCCCATTCTATACAGGACTTGATGACTTGTATCTGGATGTCAAGGGTATTGGGGATGGCAGAAAAGAAATCAAGAAGCTGTCGGACTGAAATACGCATATGTTAGCAAAGAGCAATTCTCACTGCGTCTATGCCTAGTATCCCACGTACCTAATTTGGCGGACTTTGCTTTAGCAAAGGAGGAGAAAGCTGATGTGCTGGTTTTAAGGAGCTGCGCAAGTTCAGTTGGTTTCCTCTCATCCCGATACAGCTCCCCCAACCCAACAAGAGCAGCTTCATAATCGCGCGAGGCAGCTTCAGTAGACCCTACACCTTTAGACAATATCTTCTGATACAGCGACTCTGCTTTTGCGGGATCTGTCTTTACGAGGTTTTTGGCTTCTGCCAGAAGACTTGCGTCATCAGAACCAGCTGCCATGCTAAATGAAGGTATGTCGTTAACAAAAACGAAAACAAAATAAGGAGGGAACACTACTGCAAGCACAGAAACACGAATGAAGCTCGCGGGGTATAGGGGGATTTGTTGCTGGATTTGTTATATTGTTGAGGTAGTTAGCTCAGAAGTTCAATTTAAGCTTAGTAAGCTTCTTCCTCCCCCGATGTAGTTAACTAGTTGGTGCACAGATTAGGCAATATATCGACGCTGTTTTAAAGGCAATTATGCTATCTCTTAAGTGGCGGCCCGATTTTGTGCCGGTCAGCGTATCACAGTAGAGTTTGGGTTATTCAAAAAATATTTCGAGATCCAACTTGTTGCTCGAGTAGCCAGCGAATCCCTGACATACAGGACATCATGGTAAGTGAAAAACCCTCAAATTCACACGGCACGAATGCTAAATGAACGATAGAAAATAAAAACGCTTTCAAGATCTGCTGCATTGCTGCAGGAGCCTGGCTCAAATACGTCGAAACTTCCCCGAAATCTTGATCCCGCACAGCATCCATTCGAGAGAGCGCGGGAATATACGAGAGCACTCAATGCCACGAAGCTAGAGCGTATGTTTGCTGCTCCCTTTGTGGCTCAGCTTGGACATGGACACGTTGATGGCGTATATTGCCTAGCTAAAGACCCTGTGTCCTTGGAGCGTTTTGCTAGCGGAAGTGGTGATGGCGTTATCAAGGTTTGGGATCTGGCTACTCGAGATGAGATATGGCATGCCGACGCACACGAGAATATTGTCAAGGGCATGTGCTGGACGTCAGATAGAAAACTGCTTTCATGCGCAGCAGATAAAACAATCAAACTCTTCGATCCTTACAACTCAGCATCCGATACCCCTCCGCTGGCGACATATTTTGGACAATCCGCATTTACAGGTGTTTCCCACCATGAAACCCTTCCCTCATTCGCCTCATCTTCCTCCGTAATATCCGTATACGACCTATCCAGGCCGTCTTCCACACCTTCTCAAACCCTCCACTGGCCCACAAGTACCGACACAATCACCTCCCTAGCCTTCAACCGAACAGAAACTTCAATTCTTGGCTCGACAGCCACAGACCGGTCAATTATTATGTATGATCTCCGAACTTCGTTACCAGTCACAAAGTTGATCCTCAAGTTTGCCTCCAACGCAATTTCCTGGAACCCGATGGAAGCGTTTAATTTCGCTGTCGCCAATGAAGATCATAATATATATATTTTCGATATGCGGAAAATGGACCGGGCGTTGAATGTGCTTAAAGACCATGTTGCGGCTGTTATGGATGTAGAATTCAGCCCGACAGGAGAAGGCTTAGTTAGTGCTTCGTATGACCGTACTATTCGATTATGGGACCGGAGTAAGGGTCATTCCAGAGATATTTATCACACGAAACGTATGCAAAGGTGGGCTATAATTTCATATGTTTTATTCACAACAAGCAAAAAATCCTTGTCCTTGTTCTAGTAATGCTGAACCAACACCGTAACAGAGTATTCTCCGCAAAATTCACACCAGACAACAAATACGTCCTGTCTGGGTCAGACGATGGCAACATCCGTCTCTGGCGCGCAGAAGCATCTTCGCGCAGTGGCATTAAGAGCGCACGTGAGAGACAGAAACTTGCTTACGATGAGGCTCTCAAGCAGCGGTATGCTCATATGCCTGAGATCCGCCGCATTAAGCGTCATCGCCATCTTCCCAAGGCTATTAAAAAGGCTGGCGAGATTAAGGCAGAGGAGATCGCTGCTATAAAGAGGAGAGAGGAGAATCTACGCAAGCACACTAAGAAGAAGGGAGAGATGCCAAGGCGTAGCGAGAGAGAGAAGATGATTTTGGCTAAAGAGCAGTAATCGAATCGGCACTAGCACTCGCATTTCGCACCGGAATACTCTGTTTTTGCTTGGTGGTTCTTTATTCTCGGAATCTACAGAGACCCTATGATCGGGATATTTTAAACCACACAATGTCTATTCTCCGAATTAGAAAAGGTTTTCCTTTCTTTCCGTCTAAAGAGTACCTACCTAAGTACCTTTTGCACAGTTTTGTGATGCGGAGGTACAGATCGGGTTCAATCGCTCTCTTTCATTGCATAAAATCAACGACTAAAAAATGATGTCTTATCATCTAAATACAAGCTTTGCTCACCAGGAGCAAACTGACATTATTATCATTATCCCGACCATATATACACCTGAAGGACGCGCAGTTCCTTCACATCTTGGTCATTTATTTCCTCCTTACGCATCAGCTTCAATCAACTCCACATCACTGTCAGAGCCCTTCGAAGATGAACTCGCCTTCCCTTTCTCCCTCTCTCTCTCCGATGAGACTGAGTCTGACGACGCCACGACCCTTTCGCTCCCATTTCCCTTTCCCTTCTCTACCCCCACCCCCACCGCACTATCAATCCCACTAAGATATCTCGCCAGCCGCTGAATCGCCACAGGCAGCACCGCATACCAGTTCACTAGCGCCCCATAGGCCGGCAGCCGAATAACCCCACCATTCCCACTATCAACAACTGCCACGATCTCCCTTGCAACCTGCACAGGTTCCAGCACGGGCGCAAAGAAATTGTTCGGTGTCTTCACCGCCTCAAAGAGCGCAGTGGCCATCTGGCCAGTCTCGATCAGGAGCATCTTTACCCGGTCGTTGTCGCCTGATACGCGGAGTTCTGCTTCGACAGTCTTGTGAACGGCGCTGATGGCGGCTTTTGTTGCCACGTAGTCTGAGAGGCCTGCTGGGGTCAGGTAGCTGACGACTGAGCTGAGAGTGACTATTGTGCCGCCGGTGGGGGAGGAGAGCATTCCAGGTAGGAATTGTTGGAGGATGTTGAAGCAAGAGACGAGGTTGGAGTGGATTGTGTAGGAGATGGCAGTGGGGGGGAGAGATGTGATTGACATGCCGTTGATGGGGGCGGCGATGCAGTTTATGAGGATTGTTGGGGTTCCGAGCTGTAGATTATTTAGCATTACAACGTTAGAAAAGGGGTTGTTTCAACAAATATATATATCCATTCATACGAAGGTCAATTGATCGACCAGCCCGTCGATGTATGTAGCGTTCTGCATCTCAGGATATAGGACACAGGAGCCATAAACATACCTCCTTCTCAACCATCCCTTTCACCCGCTCCACTTCCCCCCAATCCCCGACATCACACCTATAGTACCGAACACTATGCACCTCTTCCCACTCCTCCACCCCACCCATCCCAACACCCCCAACGTCCCGCACATCCAACACCGCAACTGCAACCCCCCTCATCCCATATATCTCCGCAATCAACAGTCCCAACCCACTCGCTCCCCCCGCCACAAGCACCACCTCATCCTCTAACGACACCTTCCTCGGCAACCCGTACGCAATCCGCTTATTCAATATATTCAGCAGCAGTAAGAAGGACAAGATCGATGCGTAGGCCGTTGTCACGACGAAGGAGGTGTGGGAGTACGGTGTTGCTTGGGCGCGGAGACAGAGGGGGATTAGCCAGGCGAGGAAGGGATGGAGGATTGTCTTGTGTAGGACGCGGATGATGAGGTCAAGGGTCAGGGCTTGGGTCCAGTGAGGGGTTTTGGTTTTGGCCGAAAAAGGGGAGAGGGCGGGAAGGGCGGAGCGGGATGGGGGGTTGGGGGAGACACGGCGGGACATGGAGGACGGTGCAGGAGTGGGTTTTATGGATTTCCAATGCGACTGGAATTGGAGTCGGGGTTGGGAGTGAATCTGCTAAAGATTGTGAGAATAGGAGAGAGTTGCTGTCCGTATAAACAACTTGTCCTTAGTTAAATAAGGAGGTTTTGTCGTTGCCAAATCCTTTCGAAACGGAAGAACATTATCTAAATTGACTATAGACAGATATAGTGATGGATACTATTCCCTATGGTGCATGAACAGCAAGAAGGAAGATGGAGGTTCGTGGTTGTGGTGTCTTCTTGTCCTTGGGTCGCTTGCATTTGGTGTTTCAGTGCTTTAGCCAAATATTGAAGCTCGTCCAGTTTCAGCCTGACATCACCAATTTAGTGATACTCGACAAACACGCTTGATACCTACATCCCTATCGCGTCAATTGAACATGCGGGGTCTGAGAAATTAAGCGAAGCGGGAATCTTGGGTTACCTCTCTTTGGGTATTGATACAGTAGCTGAAGCTGAATCATATAGTTGGTTGTTACATTCCACCTGCTGCACGTGATCTAGATAGCCCGAACGAACGTATTACGGACGCGATATTCGTCATCATTATGTTATTAGATGTATATATATATATATATATATATCATACATAACTCCGCAAAGCCGTCAACATCAATTCGCTTTATCTGAGCAACAATAGCTAGTGGAAGAGTAGTTATACATCTATTCCGTTAACTGGAGCTGCTTGTGCTCATTAGCCATTCAGAGCCCGCAGGAGGAATCTTTGCAAACCGAACCTCCGTTGAGAATGGTTTGCCCTGTCTAGAAGTTTCAATGATTGGCTTGCACTCGTCATTATCACCACTTCTTCGTTGAAGTGACTCATGCATGCTTACATTGAACGAGTTTTTTGCTGCTTGTATCTGGATTCCATAGTTATCCTTTGTTATCCCCTCGCTCATTATCGAGCGATCCATTTGCTAGATGTCCTTCTCTGTTGACTTCATTTGGGATCGATTGAGCATAAATAATCTCACTCTCTTGCCTTATGCCCACTGGAATACTGTCCAGAATCCCTTTCTTTTTTCTTTTCTTTTCTTTTTTCTTTTTTTCTTTTTTTCTTTTTTTTTTTTGGGGGGGGGGGGGTTATGGTAGTTAGTTAACTAAGGTTCTGTTCTGTGATGACCTGTATTCAGAGGGCGCAAAATCAAGGCCCCATCTCCCGTGTCAAGCTGCCGCGGAAAATTCCTAGAAATGCTGTGATCACAGATCTTTCGGCCTCTAAGAAGATTCCCCATGAAATACTTAAAACGTTATTCAATTTTGGACTAGGATGGGGCGCGGACAATTTTGTGGGCCAGATGACAATGTGGATATTGACGGAAAGGCCTTCCCTGCGGCAACGGTGTCAACGGATGGTCGATTAATAACGTAGCTATTGGAGATGCAGTACGGTTGGTTGAGACGGGGTTAGAAGTTATCAATAAATGGTACTGGTTCTATCAACCGTTGGAACCACTGAAGGTCAATAAGATGTTGTCAGCGGTTTAGGTGGGGCGCGAACGATAGTTAGATGGGGATGACGTCACATCAGATCTTGCCGACCCTTTTAACTGTATTATTACCCCTTTTATACTCTGCATGGCATTCTAGAAAAGGCAACGTGAAGATGTGGCCCGCTTCTTGATATGCCTAAGCGTAACCTTATTCTAGCCTTAAACGTCGCAAAAACTAGGTAGGTTTTGAATTTTCAACTGGGGACGGGAAGACAAAAAGTACAGCAGGTCAGATTCAGCCAGATTAGTAGGATAAGAAAGATCAAATCAAACAGCAGATTCTAGGAGAATTTAAGCTAATTATTCTTTTTTTTTTTTTTAGATTACTAGCAGATCAGTGGTAATTCGCTTCCGCTATAAGATCTTTGAACCTGAGCCGTCCCGATAAAAAGCAAAAAGAATCTTTAGTTACAGCCTTACATGTGGTAGCCGTACCAAATCCCGTAAAATTCAAAGCAAAAACAGAAAAATATTCTCAGATATTCCCACAAGAAACCATTTTCAATCATAGAGTCGAATCGTATCACATCGCCGCCATCGTATCGCGCTGCCTCGAACGCCAGAAAACAAAAAGGGAACGGAAACGAACATGGGCAATGAAAAGGAGTAGAGTGGAGAGGGGGAAAATAACAATAGGGAGAGGAAATACCAAAGACGGAGACAAGAGCGGAGATGAAAATAGAGGGATAGACGGAGAAAGAGGAAGCGAAGGAGATGGCGAGGGAGTGAGAAAAGGGAGAGTGTGAGAACCAAAGGGAGATATGGAAGAAAAAGAAAGGAATGGGGGAATGGGGGAATGGGGGAGAGATGAAGGGGAAAATACGCCGTCATTCCCAATCAAACTAAAGCAAAGAAGGGGGGAAGCAAATACAGCCCGCAAGAAAGAAACAAAAACAAAACAAAAAAACGAATAAAGAAAGAATGAAAGAAAGGGAGTGGTGGAGGAGGGAAAGGGGGAACAGAAGGCTTCAACCTCAGAACACCTTACGCCTCATACCCATTTAGCCAACTTCTCAAAATCCCTTGGCACCTCTACCCATGCCCCCTACACGCACGGATGAACGCAGCAGAAGCCTCAAAAATGCCATAATCTCTTACAGTCCCATCCTCGATACTCTGGCCCCGCTCCAACCTAGCCGGTTGCGGATCCGTGCTCGAAATAGCCATGCGCACCTGCAACAACACACTCTCAATACTGGACGCAACTGACCAGCCCGAATTGGTCAGCAGCTACATACACAATGCGCCGCCGGCAGTGACATGCCCGCCACCACCGGACACGAAGCTAAGAAATCGCGGGCGGATGATGCACACAGATGGCGGGAGATTGGGTAACCGTCTGGGAACCGGAGTTCAAGCACCACGGATTTTGAGACCGGCTTCTTTGAGATCCGCGGATAGCGGGAGGGACGGGTCGAAGGAGTGCAATTCCACAATCCATTGATAGATGGCGCTTGTAATGCTTGGGTCGACGTACCAGCCTAGTTCGTGTGGTTGTCGGGTCTTTTGGGTTTCTTGAGTCACGTTTGAGCTCGCGGAGGAGCCCTTTGGTGGCCCAGGATGTCGCGTTTTGGGGTTTCGTGAGGAGCGGGAGGGTGGAGGAGTCAAGGGTGCCGGGAACAAAGTCTGTTTCTGGTGGGGTGAGATCTGGTGTCGTTGCTGTCCTGGTTGTTGTGGTTGTCGGTCGTTGTATTGTGGGGGTGTCACGGGTGTAGCGGATAGGGTCTTTACCATTTTTGTAGCCATCTTGTTGTTCCTCTACTGAGAGCATGACAGCATCTTTAATGGCAGTGGTGTCGCTGAGGTAGCCATCCACGGTGGGTAAGCAATCCAGAGCCTCATTCTCCTCTCCAGGAGTGTCTCGAAGTATTTTTTCTGCGGGGGCTCATTTGCGATTGGTTGGCCAATCGACGCCTGATTGTTAAGAGGCAAAGGACTAATTTTCCTCTTAGGGGATGGTTGTTCGCTAATGGATCCCCCCTTGGGTTACGGGTCGAAAGGCAGAGCTGCTTTGCAATTTTGCCGAAAAGCACGTATAGTTTGTTCCCAGCTCAGGGGTAGGTGCACTCAGAACAAAACGGCGGCTACGGCTAACTGCCGTTGTAGGAATCTTGATTGGAATCCCCCATTGTCCCCTTGCAGTATACTCAGGATCCTGCAAATGATATATTGGATCGGAGGCCTCTGTTAAAGGAAATTGGGGAAAAGGGTTGTCCGCCTCCTCCTCCTCCTCCTCCTCCTTATCATCATCAGCATCATCATCATTATCGTCGCCCATGGCGGATTCGGGTTCCTTGCATTTGACAAATAAATAACGAGGCTGTAGCCAATCCAGTCGCGCGACAACGAGATGGGGAGATTTGCTCACGAACTCCTTGGGAGCGTTGACAACTTCGTTCATGGATGCTGCATATGATATTTCTAGTTTACTCTGCGGCCACGATCCAAACCTAGCTCTAGCATAATAGGTTGCGATATCGAACGAACTGCTCATGTAGACGCCATTCCCGAATACACGGCCATGCCTGATTTCCTTGAAATGCAAGCCTTCGCGCACGATGTCGTGCCAGTTTGCAAAGGAACTCCCATGCCAGGCAAAAATGGCTGGATACTTGAGGGATAATCTCTCTTTAGCCTCGACAACTGCTAGCCTCGACAACTGCTTGCACGAATCGCTGTTCCTTGTCAGGCGCGCCCTGGGCAAATCGCAACTGCATGAAAGCTTCCATCCCAGACACGCGGTCACTATCATTGTCATCTTCGATTATGCATGAACGGTTTGAAGAGATAATCCAACGTAACACATCCAGCGCCGACTTGGAGATCTTGCAACGCCAATCAGAGAGAAGAGGATCCGCTTTCTCAGAGGCATTTTCCAGGAAATCTCTATTTTCATCAACGGAGGGTAAAGTTTGGAGTAGCAACATGATAGTGCGCCGTTTATGCACATCGTTTAAGTCATCAAAGTTGAGGTTATAGACACAAATTGTTACATCATAGCATCTGGATGGGGTGTCGACAGCAGAAACTCCAGAAGCGGGTCGGTCTGAAAATCAACGAGTGACAAGTCTAGAACCTTGAAGCCGGCTGTCTTAACAGTACAAATGTCTGCTGTCATCCTGGCAAGGATGTTTTCGTCAGGAGCTTTGGTTGGTGTATCCAGACCTAGTTTCGAAACGCGGGGTTGAGTAGGGTTAGGAGTGCGAGGAGACTGTTGACAGCTCTCGTCGAAATTACCACAAATATTCGACATGTCGACTTCACCGCACGCATTTGGTGAGAACGCCCTGTCCAGGAGTTTTGAAATTCGAATGAGCATGTCAAAGATACGGATTCCGCTCGAACGGGTCTGGACTGCTTCCAAAGCGTCAGTGACCGCCTTGGTGACATCACTTGATGTTGTAAACACGAGATTGCTATGCTCTGAGGGTTTGGGGAATAGGTGCAAGATATGACACCATCATCCTCACCAGCTCTCACATCTACCATACAATGATTGCCCTCGTTGGATGCCTCCTTCAAGTCGCGAAAAAAGTCGCATCGTGGCATGTTGAGAACAGGAAGACAATAGGGACTCTAAGCTTCTTGTGGTAGCATGGGAAGCAAATCTGCTTAGAGAGAATGGAAATTTCCCGAGAACCTTGGAAGATATTGAGACAAAAAATGAGAAACCTATGAAGATAAACAAACAACAGCTTAAAGTGTTTTTCATGAGAAGGGAGAACAAGGAGTTTGCCAGGAATCATGGGGAAACAGAGTGATGATACCACAAATATTGAAGCGACTCCAATGACTTTCCCCTGAGAAGTATATGAAAAGACGACCGAGGCTTGATGAGTATCGTCAAGAAATTTCTTTAGCACCAACTAAAGAAAGGAAAGGATGAGAGAAAGAAAAGACAGAGATTGATGCGGTTGTAGTCTTGTCTTCATGAATACAGTGCATTTGTGTTCATTTACACAGATACCCCAGACAACCAGCCCTTAAAGAGGTAAGGCAGTGGCCATATGAGGGGAACAGGTTGACCTTATAACAATATATGTCCTGCACATAGACATAACATCCAGAACATAAAGAAAATGAGAATCTGCTGATATCTCTAGTTTTTCATTTTTGGCTGTACTTTGTAACAGCAAGTAGAGAAGACTTGATTCTTAACCAGACATATGAATGGGGCTCTATATTGCCACGACAAAGGGGTTTTAAGAATGTTGCTCCGTCCTAAGGAAGCTTTTCCATTGTGAGTTGATTGTGAGAATGTAGCAAAAGCTCAGCTCCAGGCAGCGGTCCATATTTGCTGGTTCGCTGAACCTGTCAGCTGTGACTGTGAGCTCCGCAGGCTGCCTGCAGGAGAGACTGATATCAAGTACAGTACATTTGTACTGTATTTTGCTAAGCTCTTCGAAGTTATCATCTTCAACAATTCAAGCGCTGGAGGTTGTTGTCCACGATGTCTTGAGGTTCAAGCAAATAAGCCGCAAAAATCTGCAGAGAACGAGAATAGATTACTAAGCCAATGAGATTCTAAAAGGAATGAAAAACGACGGGGAGAATCAACGAAAATGTGATCAAGGACAAAACATGAAATGGTGTTGAATGCATGGTATGTAGTAAAAGAATAAATATAGAATCATATGATCAGTTGCTCCAATCAAAATCATGTTCCTGGATGAGGCTTGACAGTTGTAAGCTGCAGCAAGAAGTAACTAATAATTGCTCAGATGATCACCTTCAACACCAAGGATTGTTCTACAGACTTTCTCTTGAAGGCATCCAATATGCAAAAATAGCCCAAAGAAGTAGCCATTGAAAAATCAACACTCTCAAGCTCATCAAAGAAATCTCATTCTCTCTCTCTCTCTCTCTCATTATTATTTATTTTTATTTTAATTATTTTATTATATTCTTTTCTCTTCATCACACAATTGAGCAGTTGGTGACGTACTACAATGCGACACCGCTTTGCATAGTAACTATATGGAGGAAGTACAGGAAATTAACAGACCGCGTTTCGAGGTGCTCTCTGGTTGGTATTAGTAAGGTTCTATTTTTGTTGCAAACCACAATATGTACCCACTCTAAACGTGGCCTCCGTTCTCAAAAATAGGCCTTTCTTTTCCAGAAATCCAGAAATCTAGCAGATCCTCAGCTGGTGGTTCTGCCATGATTTGCGGATGGTGGCCGCATTCTCAGTTGGTGCCGCTGCAAGTTGTGGATGGGGCCCATTTGCCCATCTGCAATTATGTTGAATCTATTGGTCAAACCGGGGAAGAACTAGCAATCGGAGACAGTGCAAATTAACGCTTTCTGAGGTCAAGACTAATCTTCTTAGATTGATTCTTGTTCTTGTTCTCATTCCTGGACTTTTCGAACTAATCGTGCCGCTCACCTCATGTGGGTGTGCCACACCAAAATAATAAAAACACCAAAATGATAAAAATCTTGCAATTTCATCATCTTCATCATCTTCATCAATTAATAACTTACCACAATGTCAAATAAAGATAAAAATATTGAAGACCATATTCACAAAACTGTCATTTATCACTGAAAAAACTTAAATTCTAAAATACTATCTCTGTTATGAGAATTTGAGGTTTTTTATCAATGTTTTTAAGCACATATTAATAAAAAGAATCTGAATACTACAAAGATTCCAGTTAATAAAAGATTAAATGAGAGTTAGAAGGATATAATTAAATAATGAGTCAAGTTACTTGATGAAAAGAATTATCTTTTCATAGCTAAATATATTAAAAACTTTATAAATTCAATATTTAGATGTTAGTATATAGATTCTACTATCTTTTTTTCAAAAGTTAGCAAGATGTAAACTTATAAGTTTATTGAATGTCTACCTGAGTATAAGAGAGTAAAACAGAAGTTAATAAATTAAAAAAATAATAATAATTAAAAATATTGAATATATCAATACATGATTTGAATATTTTCAGATTCTATTTGAGTAATATTAATTTCATATCTGTGACATATACTACTTCAATGAGATTGAATTTTAAAAAGAACAAAGATATGGAGAATGAATTATAACTACTTTTAAAGAAGTTAATTTTATTATTTCTTTATTCTTTTCAAAAGATTTGATTATAGTTATTGAATATATATTTATAAATAATTATATCATTCTATTATTAATAATTTTAACCTTTAAAACATATTTAAAAAATTAATATATATAGATAGATTTACTCAGTAATTATAGAATTATTATATTAAATATTAAATTTATAAATAATAAAATTGAATTTAAATAATTTAAACATTTTAATATTACTATAAAAAAGAGATTAAAAAAATTATTAATTATTTTTAATAAATAATTATGAATTTTATATTATTGAGAAGTTTATATAATATATAGATCTTTATAAAATAATTCTATATAAATTTATTATCATATATTACTCATTTACTATAATTTCTGAATAGTCTATTATTTTAATAATACAAATATTATCATTTAAAAGCAGTCAACTACGCTGTATATCATGATTTTGTTATGTATAAAAAATAGCAGTTTTTATAAAACCTTTCAACTATGTAAAAGTAAATCTTTAAATCTGATATAATAACTACAAAATAAGCTTAATATGATATATATTTATAAAATTCTGACTGAGTTCTTGATATTCTTAAATAGTAAATCTCATCACCTTTTTCACTGTAGATTTATAAAGATAAGAATAACTCAGATTATATATATATCTCTTCTTCTTAGCTATTCTTATCAAAAATAATTTAAAAGCTAAAATATTATATTAATATTATGAAAAATATCATACAAAGTATTAAAGATACTTTTAAATTGAAATTACTTATCTTGATACATTGTTTGAATAAGATATTCAAAGTAAGTTTAACTCATGTAGAACTTAATAAGTAATAGATCACTAAATTAAAAAAATTTTCTCAATATTAGTTAACATCATAGAGCTAAAATAACTCATCATCAGATTCAAATAAAGGAAGTTCTCACTATTAAAGATGTTAATAGAAAAATCAAATAATATAAAAATAATGAAGCTGAAGAAGAACAAAATAAGAAGTAATAGAGATTTGAAGTCAGTCTCATATAAATTAACAATAATTCACTCATATCACTAATAGAAGAGGAATTAAATCAATTTAAAGATGATATACACACTGAGAATGATGTAGATAATCTTTTTATTATAGATTAGCTGCTGATTGTTGATATAGAGTGTAATAATGAGAATGTGATTTAACATTTTTATTGTTTCAGTGTTTTTATCATTTTGGTGTGGTGCACCCATATAAGGTGTGGGCTGCGCAGCGGCACGATTACTAGGATATTTATAATTTTCATGATGAAAATTCTAATGATCTTAGACCCAAAACGCAAGTTCTACTGCAAGCACTACGGGCAGCCTTCGGGATTTGGTTCGTACGTGCTTTACTAATTCAACAACATCGTTCAAAAGGAAAAGTTGATACACGTCACCGGCAACCCGGTTACAGGATTTTCCCTGGAGTTCAAACACAATTACGAGATATTATGGGTGCAGAGAATGACTGTAATTGTTGGAGGCACGTCTTTTACTATATGATATTGTAGCTGGGCGATGGATGCCCCAACCCTCAAATCCCATTGATGATGTATATCATAAACATGTCTCCGCTGTGCTCTCATATTGCTGCAGTATCATCGGCAAAAATATTTGGTAGCACGCTTGTTCTTCCATTCTGAAGTGAAGTACGCCTTTCGATCCTCTCAGGATTCTGGCATCCAACCTGACTGTTCCCAATCAACAACAATTGCAAATAATCTGCCAGGGTTCTGACTCTGATGCCGTGATATTACTTTGATGAAGGTCTCCATGAGTGAATCTTATTGCAGCATCATCGGGGAGTTCAGAGCGAAAGGGCTCTATTGGAATGGAGTATGAATCCATCATTGAGCGCCGGCAGAGGAAAACAAACCAATCATGAAACTCTTTGACAGACTGAAAAGGTCCTGATTCTAAAATAGCTCTGTCATTCATATGTTCCCACCTGATGTTTCCTGAACACAGTGGCCATTAGTTAACAAATTGCATACTAAGAATAGATAGTACGCATGCATTACCTATAAATGGGTCCTGGGGAACTTGTCTGAGTCATCATAAATTGGAGATGCAAGTCTGAAGTTCTAAACAAATTTAAGTTGCGGTCCCAGACTTTTTCCAAAAGTCTGTCCATGTATCAATTCCATATATAGAAAGATCTCACATCCATCAGTACGCCAAACGTACAACCCAAGGACTGGCTCACTGCCCTTTTAAAAAGTGACGAACTGCATAGAGACTTTAACCTTCAGCAATTGTAATGTTGGAGCCCCACTTGACAAAAAAACCCATTGATGCAAATGCATTAGGTGATGGATTCCACTGTGGGTCTGTGTCTTCAAAAACTTTTCGCTTGTCAAGGCTAGATCCAGCTAAATATTGAGCACGAGCCTGGGCACGGATGTCTTCTGGTGATGGTAGCTGAGGCCATGTTTTAAAGAAAGAAGACTGCCGAAAATCCTCATCTGAATGATTTGGCAGCATTGCTGTTGTCATTGGACAGGATCTTTATAAGACTGGAATATGACGTTGTGTATTAAGGACAAAGCTAATCCGTACGTAACTAGTTGGTTAGCTGGGCTATAGGTGATGACAAATATCTTTCTGAAACTGTAACTAACGTAATTCCACACTGAGTCGGCCACCACACTGAGTCAGCCACCAAATTTCTCCACCTACTAATTTAACTGCTCATTCAATTCAACACACAATTATGCCATCAAAATGCAAGAAAAACTCTTTAAATTCAGTTGAGCAAGAGAGGAGGATTGAACTCACAATAAAATCTATTCAAAATGATGAAAAGCTCTCAATTTGTGAAGCTGCAAAGCTATTTAATATGTCTAGATTTACTCTTTAATATCACTTCAAGTATCAGCCCTTACAGGTGAATTTATGTGCAAACTCTCACAAATTATTTGCTGCTGAAGAGGATAGTCTAGTTGAATGAGTGCTGAATCAAGTTAAACAAGAATTCTTCTCTTAGCTGACATTTGTTAAAGATATTGCTAATTATCTTTTTATCTTACAGAATATCACTGTCTCCACTATCTTTTCTTTTCAAATCAGTAAGAACTGGATTTCAAGACTGATTAAATGTCATATGAAGCTTCAAAGCTGCTATTTCAGACACTATAATCATGACTGAGCTAAGTATGAAGATCAGCAAGTTATAAAGAATTGATTTAAGATCTTAGAAGATATAATTGCTGAGCATGAGATTATATCAGAGAATATATACAACTTTGATAAGACTGACTTTACTATGAGACTCTGTGTCACTACTAAGATCATTACTAGTAGTGAGCACTATGATAGAGTAAAGCTCCTACAGCTTGAAAATCATAAATGAGTAATTGTAATAGAATTAGTCAATATATCAGAATGGACTTTACATATATATCTCATTCTCAAAGATCAGAACTTGTTGAAAGATTAGTTTAAAGGTCTTTCAGAAGACTGAAGATTAGATGTCAGTTTAAATGACTGAACTACTGATGAAATAGATCTGAAATGACTTCAATGAGTATTTATTTCAGTAGCAGATTCTTGCAGAGTTGATAAATTTATTCTTCTTTTTCTGAATAGATATAATAGTCATTTTATCTCAGAATTTAATCAAATCTGTAAGAATAATGCTATAATATATTTTTGCATATCATCTCATTTCTTTCATCTTCTGCAGTTACTAGATATGAGTGTTTTTTTAGTTTTAAAATGAGCATATGAAGATCTAGTTCAGTAGTAAATGTGACTTAAATTTAATGTTATTCAGAAGGTAGATTTTCTAGATATCTACTCTGCAGTACATACTGCAATCTTCAAATCTCAGACTATTTAAAATGACTTCAAAATAACTGAAATAGTGCTCTTTCAGTCTAACTATATTCTTCAGTAGCTAAATATTCAACTATAAATTTCTACTCTCTCACATAGTAGCTCTAGCAATTCAATCATATTCTGAGTACTTCAAGCATTTAGTAATCTCCAGCAATTACACTGACAGGTAAATAAGATCAAAAGCTTAGTAAAAAATCAGTCTCAAGACTTTATGAAAGATTTTAATCAAATTATCAAGATCTGTGAATATAAAATAGTCAATACCATAACTATAAAAAAGTAATATCAGAATATATTCAATATTAATGAGATATAGAAGTAAAAGTGCAAGAGATCTAGATACTAAATTAAGCAAAAAGTAGAAGATTTAACTAGTGAAGAAGTTTAAAGTCTTTTAGTAAACTCTATAGAGTCTGCAGAGTCTGTTGAATAGTCAGTTATTCAATCTTCAAGTCTTTAGCTGCTGAGTTCACAGCACATATACAAGTATCATGAAAATGTAGCAATTGTGAAATGCTTGAACATACAAGACTAAGATGTTCTCAATTAAGTGTAATTTAATTTAATTTAATTGAGCTTTGTTGTATTGAGATAATTTGAATTAAAAACTATCTAGTTGAAATATAGTGAATTTGCTGACTGACTCAGTGTGAAATTATATTAACTAGATAACTAGTTAAAATAATAACTATGATTATATCAGTTACTATAATTATATAATATAATCAGAATGATGCTTTTGAAGATGATGATCATTTCTAATACTGATGACAAAAATGAGAGACTGTAAAGGATTAAGCTCTAAGAACTAGAGGTTAGTCCTCCTATATAACAAAGATGAATTGCTTGGGAAAGAGAAAAAAAGAATGAGATGAGAACATGAGCTTAAGCAAGCTCGCGTAGCATGATCACATGCACACATGCAAATGATAGCTAGGCTGAGTCAGCCAGCCAGAGTGAATCTAAGGGTTCAGCCCCTTATAATACCCCTCTTCTCCCTCTTTGTTATGAGCCTTTATAACTATTTAAAGCCTTCTTTATATCTAATTTTGCCTGCTAAGAGGCCTTCTAAGTGTCTAAAGTCTTCACTTATTGTAGTAGACTCATGTTATTCCATGTAGACTCAGCTCAACCTACTCATTTAACAAGATATTGCTTTTTCCTCTGATAGATTTGTTCACTTTAAATTTCTTTAATCTCAAACTCAGGTCCTTCTGAGGTCTCTATAATGAGTGGCTGTCAGTCAGTTTGCCTCTGACTAGGCAGAGAATTCATCACTACAGCATGTAGAAGCTTTACATTAAAGACATTATGAATATTGAGTGAGACATTCAGTCAGTAAATATGAGATTCTATCTTTTCTAGCACAGTATATTGATTGTATTTTGTATTCAGCTTCTTGCACAGGTGATTAGTTCTCATATTCTCTAAGCTTAATCAGATCTTATCTCTAGGTTGAAAGCTTAAAGCTGAATCTCTTTGTCTATTCACATAGTTCTTTTGAGATTGCTGAGCATCTGTCATTTTTACTTAAGCTCACTTCAACACTTTATAGGTTCTCCTCATATAATCATCTGCAAATTCAATGAGATTATATAGTGTTTCAACAGAGAGTGCATCAGCTATATCAATGAAAGAGACATGAAAAAGATGTGTTAAAAAGAATAAGCTTACATCTGTTGAAATAACATCTTTATTATTGATGATCAGCTCTGCCAGAGAGAGTTATTCACATCAGTCATTCTGTTGAAAGCTAACATACTTGTGTAGGTAGATTTTCAGAGTCTGATTCATTCACTCTGTAGCTTTATCAGTTTTTAAATAATAGACTGTGAAGAGTCATCTCTTAATATCTAATTTCTCATACACCTGAGTTCAAAACATGCTTGTGAAAGCTGACTCTCAATCTGACACTACTGTCTTAGAGATGCCATGTTGAGAGATGATGTTGTGAAGAAACACTCTAGTCATTATCTTCACATCAGTTTTCTTAACTACTTTTAATATAACCCTCTTGATCAGTCTGTCTATTATAATTATGATATTTATATATTTTTTAGAGCTTGATAAGTTCACAATAAAGTTCATAGAAAGCTTCTGCCATATGTGTTCAGAAATAAGAAGAGGCTTAAGCAGTTTCTGATGTTGATCTCTTCATGTGATATTTGATCTGTAAAGATGACAGTTTCTAGTTATTCTTCTCATATCAGCAGTATAGTCTGGCCAGTAGAACTCACATCTTAGAACTTCTACCATTTTCTCTCACCCAGGATAGTCAGTAAAAGATGAGTCATGAGTGTTGTACACTAACCTGATTCAAAGAGGTTCAAAGTCTGGCACTCACTTATGACCTCAAAAGAGAAGCTTCTCATTCTTATTTAAAGAGCACTCAGAGATAAAGGCCTTAATACTGAGTTCAAAAAGAAATCTGAATCTTTTCTCATGAAGAGTCTACTTCAGACACTGTAGAATCTTGTCATTTTTATAAGTCTTATTTCACTGAGCTTGAAGAGACATCTCAGGTTTCACACTGGCAGCAGCTACTCTTGGTTTCATTCCAGGTGCCAGTACATTAAATTTAAGTAGTTGAGCTTGCCTCTGCTTGATTCTCTCATCATCAGTGCTCTGTGGCATGTTCTGCTCTCTTCATGATAGAGTGTCTGATTCAGCATTCAACTTCTCTAGCTGGTAATCAATTCTGAAGTTGAATTGATAGAGAATATCTATTCAACATAGTTGTCTTTCATTTAGTCTATATGTAGTCATGAAGTATTTTAGATTCTTATAATTTGTGAGGATCTTGAATTTCTTTACACTTTGTAGCTCAGTATCTCATTTCTTTAAACACTCAATTATTGCTAATAACTTCTTATTATGAATCTCATAATTGCATTCTGCAGGTAAATGCTTGTGAGAGAAGAAGGCATATGAGCATAAAATGCTCTGCTCATTATATTGTAGCAGCACTTCTTCTGAGACATAACCTGAGAAGTCTGTTTTCAATATAGTCTCACAGTCAGAGCCAAATTGAAGCAAAATTGAAGTGAAGATAAACATTGATTTTAGACACTTAAAAGCTTTCTCAGTCTTGCTCATCTATAAAAAAGAAACATTCTTACATGTAAGAATCATCAGTAAGGTCATGATCTTTGAGAAATTTCTGATAAATTGTCTATAAAAATTGGCAAAGCTTAAAAATCCTTATATACTCTTAAGAGTAGTAGGTGTTACCCATTCCAAAACAGCTTTAATCTTCTCTGAATTCATTCATATACCCTTGCCTGCTTCAATGATAAATTCAAGATATTTTGTGCTGTTTACTTTGAACTCACTCTTTCTGATGTCTGCCTGCAGGCCTGCTTTCTATAAACATATAAGCATCTTTTGTACATGCTCGCGATGCTCCCGTAAGCTTCTTGAGAAAAATATCAAGATGTCATCTAAATAGACTAAGCAAAAGTCATCCAGATATCTATATAATACTCAGTTGATATATTTTTGAAATGTGCTTAGAGCATTAGCTAAACTAAAGAGTGTAACCAGTCACTCAAATAGTCTGTATCTGATTCTAAAGGTCATCATCTACTCATCACCTTCTGTGATTTGAATCTTATAAAAAGCTGCAATAATGTTCAGCTTATTGAATCATTTAGCCTATTCAATTCACTATAAAGTCTCACTGATTAATAGTAGAGAATATTAATTCTTTCACATAATTTTGTTAAAAGTTTGATAGTCTATACAGAATCTTAGCTCACCCTCAGACTTCTTTATGAATAGTACAGAGGTGGCTGTGGAAGAGTTGCTCACTCTAATAAAACTCTTATCTAGATAATCTGTAAGAGTCTTTCCCAAAGCCAGTAGTTTCTCTCAAGATATATTATATAGTGAGCCTCAAAGGGGTTGTTCTATGCTATCATCAGTCTTTTTAATCAGTTCAATCTTATGATCTCTACCTGGGCCATGAAGTAGAGGTAGAGTGTTGATGACTTCCTTATCAAATATATTCAAAAACTCATGATAATATTCAGGCAGCTTTTCTCTAGGGTTAATCTTTGATTTCACTTCTAGAGCCTTTTGAATATCAGTCAAACTAACAGTGAAGATCTTGATGTTTCACTTCTCTTAAGTGCTTGCAAGTCTAGAGAAGCTTATGACAGAGATGAGAATCACATCAGCTTTTACATTTGAACTTGACTCTACCTCTATGCCATTGTCTTCAAATCTCACAATTCTTTGATGAGGGATCACAGTCACCTTTTGCTGGGCCAGTCAGGAGTTATCTATATACATATCATAACTATGTAACCTATTTACTATATAGAGAAAGACCTGTTCAGTTATATGACTACCTATATCAATTCAAATGTCAGTCATCATGCTCATGGAAAGTCTCATAGAGTCTTTAAAGCTGGTCATTTTAACAGTGGGAATTTCAATGCACAGGAGCTTATGCTTATTAATATAGAATTAAGAAATAAAATCATAGACATTACATTCACTATCTATCATTGCTTTAGTTGAAAAGGTATTATCTACTAGAGCATCAATAGTGAAGAGTTTGAATATCATCTTAGATTTAAATCTTCTTCATTGCTTCTTCATAAGCTTCTTATTTCACTTCTTCCAGTATCTTTTGATTAGAGCTACTTTTTTCTCAAATCCTCACTCATATCCACATTGTTATTATTCAGTACCAGCTTGAGAATCATCTTAGCTATTATGAGAGTGGCAGAGTGTCTGAGAAGTTTGAACAGGCAGCTTTTAATCATATGATCTCTAGCTTTACATCTTAGGCACAGGCCTTGCTCTCTTTATTAATTAATCTCTATCTAATTTATCAATTTAGTGTGGCAGGTGCTTGGGATCACAGCATTAGAAGAGAGATTCATCAGATCATCAGTGAAAGCTTGAGACTGATTTCATTGATCAAGGACAGTATGATGAAGTGAAGAGTGTGAATTAGACATTGTATGATCTGAAGAAGATCTGTCCTTGTGATGTTTAGATCAATGTCTTAAAGTCTTAAGCTCAGAGAGTTGATGATCAACTAATCTAAACTCCTTGCAGTAATTCTTATAGAGAGATGATTCTCTTACACTCATCATACCTTCCCTCAGCTCCATGTTTAGAGTGAATTTCAAATATCTCTTTTTAACATGATCATCTTATTCATGACCATCAGCTTTCAGCAGTAGCTGATTAAATTTAGGCAGAAAGTCAAAAAGAGCTCTTCTACTCTGTTGTAGATTGTTGAGCTTTTACATAGTCTTTTTCTGTCATACAGAATCACTGAAGAGTATGTGTGTCTGCTTCAATAAGCTCTCTACTGTGAAGTTGATCTTGTTCTTATTATTTTCAACTCAGGGGTAAACTTGAGCTACTGCCATTTCTTTCAGTCTTGAGTACACATACCAAGCACATTTCTCATTATTATCTAAAGCTTTCTCATCAATTCTAAGTTTTGATTGAAGCTTTAGCTCTCACTGAGAGTAGTGCTTCAGATTAGAATCATCATACTTCTCACAGTTCAGTAGCTTGATTTTTGATCTTCTGACTGCAATGAGTAGTTGCAGATTCAATTGAAAGAGAGTTGATGTTGAAGTGTTCAAAGCTTGTCATAGATTAGCTATTTCAGCTTGCTGAGCTGCTATTAAATCTCTGTTCTCATGCTGGATCTGTTCCTGCTGTTGAAGAAAGATCATCTATTGTTGTTCAAAGCTGCTGAGAGTGTCCTTGCTCATTGCTTCATATTGATCTATTTGTGTATTCATCATACAAGTCTGTCACTTTATTTCATTCAGCTAGACATTTTCAATGTTGCTCATTCATTTGTTAGCACAATTGCTAACTCAGTCTATTCATATATCAGTGCTATCACTGAACTTCATGATGCAGAATTTAAGGCTCTCAATAGCCTGTCATATATCAGCATATTTGCTAAGCTTCATGATACAGGATTAAGACTCTCAGTGGCCTATCAATGAAAGAAGTGAAGCAATTCGTAATGTAAAGAGTTAAGCTCTAAGAACTAGAGGCTAGTCCTCCTATATAACAAGGACGAATTGCTTGGGAAAGGGAAGAAAAGAATGAAATGAGAACATGAGCTTAAGCAAGCTCACGTAGCATGATCATGTGCGCACATGCAAATGATGACTAGGCTGAGTCAGCCAGCCAGAGTGAATCTAGGGGTTCAGCCCCTTATAGAGACAGCTCAAAGAACTCATCACAAATGACTATACATTATCTTTTATCATAGTCATTGACTAGACTTAAGTATATATGATATTTCTCTTTCTCTTTTTGCTTTTTCAGCTTTTTCTTCTCTCTAAGTCAAGCAGGTATGGATAAACCTCTTATTTCTCCAGTCATACAGAGCTTGTGTATGACATGGGACTATAGTAGTCTATGATGAAGCCAAGCAGATCTACAGAGTTTGATATCACACGTATATCACGTGATTTAGTGATCAAGTTCATAGGGGAAATACTGTAGTACATTGTTCATTTTTATAAGCTTGAATGACTTATGCAAGCCTTCCTTCTTGATTTAAAACTTCCTTGTTAGGGGTGATTCATATATTGAATTAGCTAGGAGGTGGATATGTGAAGTTGAATATTGATGTTTTAATAGAAATGTGTCCTATTTGGTAACTAACTATTGAATTAGTTAAACAAACAACTTTTTACTTCTGAATAACCAGACATACAACCTTCAACAATGGTCGCAATTTTTAAATCACAAATTGCTCTCACAAACAAATCTTCATCAGTGTTTATGTTAATTTTATATTAATGACATGGTGTCTATATGCAGTGTTTTACATGGACCTTCTCTTGTATTTCTGTCAGATTGTAATTGTTCAATAAATGACATCTTGTCTTTCCTCAACGCTGTCTCCAAGGCGGAAACTGGACCACCATCGCCACCACATCTCAAACCACCATTAAAACCGAGAAGGTCAGAAAAACAAAATCAGGTCTTCGTCTCTCAATCCGAGTCACATTGTGAGTATTTATCTCACATCACTGGCCATGGCATCCAACCCACACGATCCCTCAGCGGATCTTAAAAACAGGACACAAGTCGCCCCATCAACGTCACATATCGACCCCGCCCTTTCCCATTTCACAGATCCCTTCTTTGACCCGGTCGACTACCTCAATAATATACTCCCTCCACTTTCAATATCCCAATCCCAGCCCCAATCCCAGCTCCGACCAGAAGTCACTCCGGTCTGCCTCGCCGCTCTCTCCACTCAAACACAATCCCTCGTTACCCAGCTCAGCGCGCAGAATGCACGGTTGTCAAATACCCTAACACAGTTGACGGATGAGATACTGCGTAGCGGTGGGCGGTTGGCGTATGAAGTTGAGGTGTTGAGGGGGGAGGCAATGGGGTTGACTGAGGCGTTGGGGGAAGGGTTGGTGGGGGATATTGGGAAGTTTGTGCCGGAGGGGGAAATGGTGGTTGCATCTACAGCTTCTGCTACGGCTGCGGGGACGGAAGAGAAAGAAGAAAAGGAGGATGCAGGAGAAGTGGAAGATTCCACCCGTACACAACAGGCGCAACACGATCAAGCACAGGAGAAGGAATCGGAAACACAAATCCAAACAAATCCCCTGGACCCCATCTGCCTCACCCAGCTCCGCACACTAACCCACGTCCGTGCCCGGCTTGAACAAGTGATACACACCTTCAACGAAGCCATGGAATGGCCCCTTGCACCCTCCGAAACTTCACTAGCGTCATCGTTCATCTCCGTCTCAGCGCCAGAGCCGGTCACGGAGAATCAGCATAGTCGTGAAGAGAAGGGAAAAGAGGTGGCGAAGAAGCTGCGAGCGGAGGTTGTCGAGTTGCTTAATGGAGGGGAGGGTGGTAGAAGTGGCGGTGGGGGGGTTGAGGCAGCGGCGAAGAAGGTGGAGGCTCTGAGGGAATTGGCGGGCGTGTGGAAGGGGACAGCGGAGGAGAAAGCTAGGATGAGGTTTGTGGAGGGGTTGGGGAAGTTGGTTGAGGAGAGGAGAAAGGCTGCGGTCGCTGAGCGGGAGAGGGAGAGGAAGGCTGCTGGTGGGGTAGGTGGGATGCGTGAGGAGGGAGATACAAGGGATGATAGCAGAGGGAGTCAGGATAGCACTTCTACCACTAGCACTACGGCTGGTGGTGGTGGCGGCGGAGGCGGAGCAGCTGGTGGGCTGTTTCGAAATCTACAGCGCTTGCGGGATGAGATATATCTCGATTGAAGATTGGAAATTGGACATGAATTGTAAATACTTGGACCAATATCCCTGATAGACATACCATGGCTCCTTTTTTGGGGAATTATAAAGCGTAAGATATTGCGCTCATAGTTAATTGACCCGCGCTGAAACATATTCCACCACCTTCTGGTCCACTTCTCCATTATTTATAACCTTTACAATTAAATTTTACATAACCATAACTATAGAAAACTAGTTAAATACATACATTATGAACTATTCTCTACACTGAGAGTATTTATAAACAATATATTTTCTTATATGATCGTATTTTAGACAACATTATATGTAAATAATTAATTATTTTAATTGATAAAAAGTTTAATGATTTTTATATTAATACTTATTTAAATAAAATTTAAACTAAAAGTTTATAATTATAAAATATAAATATTTATTAACTAACTAACTATAGTTACCTAAATTAATTATATTACTACTAAATTCATTTTAAATAACTAGTTAATTAACTAGTTAGCTATAACTTTTTATTAACTATAAAGAAATAAGTTTTAAATTGATTTCTTTAATTATTACAGTATTTTTTACGCCCGCCGAGCGCGGCTGTCGTTGGTCCGCATCGTGCGCTAGGCCCGTTGCGGCATCACCGTTCCTCTCGCCGTTTCTACAGACTGCCGCTCGATCTATAAAAACCCATCTCGCGCCCTCGCAGCGACCACACTCTCTTCTCTTTCTTCCTCTTTCTCTCTCTTTCTCTCTCCCCCTCGCCCTGCCTCCCGCTCTCGTGCGTGCTGCACTGCGCTCCCCTTCTCCTTATCCCCCTTGCAGGGATGGTGCCGTCTTGATCCTGCGCCCGCGGAATCGTCGAGCCGCGGTGTGTCTACGCTTCGGAGACAAGGGAGGGGAATGCGTGCAGCCGAACCAGCCCGATGCCACAGCAGCATCTGCAGCCCCGGAGGGGTGCGACGTAGTGCTAGTTCATGTATGTACATGAGAGTGATATCATGATATCATGATCGACCATAAGGTGGCCTTAAGGTGGCCTCTCCTAGCCGTTCATTAACGGCCCTTGGTAGGCAGGTGAGGGGAGGGTGGCCTTGAATATAACCGGAGAAGCTGAGCCCACCTGCCCATCGCACTGCCATACGTTGCCCTCTTCTACTGTACGCAGCCACAGCCGAATGATACCTACCCTCTTGTTCCCCTCACGGTGATTCGTATGCGACAGCTGTGGAAGGGACGCCATTGTTGCATGAGTTCTATTTTCAGACTTCATCCTCGGATATTGTTGGCTGCTGCGCCGTGCTTCAGTGCCTGGGGAGAGCAAATGGGCTTTATTGCTGACCGTTCAGCAATAGTACGTAGAGAAGGAGTACAATGAATGGAAGGAAAGGGAATCCAATAATTGGACAGTCCCTGTTTGTTCATGCCTTGCTATGGTTGTTACCCGATCATGTACTCCTGCAAATCGAAACGACCCTACTCCCTTGTGGTGCTTATGGATATAGATCATATGGCTACTTCTTGGTGGGAGTTCGTTATTGTGTCGGCATTTTCTCATAACGTGCGTTAAAAAGCTTCTAGAAACCAACAATGCCTTTGGGCTCCGGCCACCTCTAGGTATTTAGTTGTTCAAACTTGTTGGCTGCAGATTTAATGAATTGCAATGTTCCCACTCCTAGAGAAATAGCTGGACACGTTAAACGGTATGCATTGAGCAGGCAAATATAAATGATGCTCATTCGCCAGAACAGAGCAATCATTAATCCTATTAAGTTTCAATCAGAGCTATCGTATCATCATACGCCTTAATAATAGGATCATATAACCTATCTGGGTCTTGCGACGTTCCAACAATAAGTCCTTCCTTCCCGTAGAGAAACAGTACGCCTCGTATGGTCCTGCAAAGATGCTTGACGCACTTGAAGTCCGGTGGAAACTCCTACAAAAGGTACTCAAACCCACCAGCTTCCATGTTACCTCATTTATAAGTTGCAATTTTCTTATAGGTTCCGGTATACCATTCTCTCAGCATGCTGTCTTTCGGCTGGTCCTGTCCCTGTATCTGTAGCTCATTTAATTTTTCCCAACCGGGACGGGCACATTGCCAGATAAGCACGTAGAAAAACGACTCAAGATCATGTCGATAGGTGCGGTCGATATTATGCAACACCTCGATCGCCATGAACTCTATCGTGCCAGTCTGGTGCTGTGCGCCGCTTCGCCCGCTACCGACTTCCTTGGAAAGATTCAGATCAATTAGCATGCCCGAATGGCCATCCGCCTTGTCTGGATCAGTAATTATTATGTTGTTCTCCGAAATATCCCGATGAAGGATGTTCCCATCCAGGTAAAGAGACCGGTGCGCCTCTATTGCATCGCGAAACGCCTTGAGCAGCTCCAAGGGTGACTTGTACCTGTAGATCGGCCGGCCGGCAGGTGATATCACAAGACAGCGGAGGACACAGTTGTCATACAGCTCCTCACCGTTCTTGTCAAAGAGGCTTGGCTGATGTGCTGACTGAACGGAGAAAGCTTCATTCTCCTGTTGGGTGTCCCTCGGCAGTTGATGGATGGAATGCGATTGTTTGGATGTCTGCATCCCCTTGTCCGGGGATCTGCGTTTCCTGGACGATGGTCTTTGACGGATATCTAAGCAACAGGGCTTGGTGAACGGCTGAGATTGATGAAACGAGGAGGCTGTGCTGGGGGGTGCGCTTTTGAAGTTGTGGCACTTGTCATTGAAGGTCAGGCCACAGGGCATGTCAGAGATACTAGTGATGGCACCATGGCCAATGATCCTGGCGACCCCTTGGACATTTCTTTGACCTGCTAGCTTGAGGAGTTCGGCCTCTGGCCACCGCTTGTCTGACACCCACGAGAATTTGACTACGCCCTCCACTTGTCCGTCGTTTGCGAGAAAACATGTTGTTCCATGACACATGATGGCACATTGACAGGAAAGCATTTCACCCAGCCGCACCTTCTTTCCCTCTGAGTTCCCAGGCCGTTTGATGGTTATTGATTTGTTGCCGCCTTCATCCCCAGCAATAAAGGTGTCCAGTCCCAGCTCCTCGTCGCTCATCATGGTGTAACCCACGAGCACCTGAAAGAACCATCTCGAGTCCTCGTAGACGTCGATGACGCCAGAGCTGTAGGGGCCTGAGCAGTCAAACACCCACGCCTCCATCTTCGTCCCGCAGACAGTGAATGCGTGGACGAACCACCGAGTGGGCTGTGCAACAAAGACCTCACGCACGCAGCGGCTGATCTGCAGCAGTGTAGTTTTGGTCCCAATCTTCTTCTTTAGTTTTTTTTAGCTCGCCAACCACCAGGACGTCTCTCCAGTCGTGTTTGTTTCGCGAGGGGCTCCCACCCCTAGCTCTCAAAAGGTATACTTGCCGTTCCGCCTTCGAACTGGTAAGATCCGCTTTGCTCACCGTGGAGTAGAAGGTGCCGCGTGATTCCTCGAGAAGGTCTTCTTGAAGACTAAACCACCAGGTTAGGACATCATCCTGTGTAGGAGGATAAGGAAACTGGGCCCAATTACCGTCACTGTCTGGGACAGCACGCGTTGACAGATGGCATCTGCTTTGTCGCTCCAGCCTTTTCCCTCAAAGTACTTGTCGAGAAGCCCTCGACGTCTCGAAATGTGCAGTCACGTATCTCCTCGAAGATTCTTGGATTCACCAACTCACACGTCTGCTCGGAACCTTCCCGTGATGACGAGGTGGATTTGACTAGCGTGCCGTCAAAGAAGGGGGGGATGCTCGTCGGTGGGGTCGATCGCGAGGTAACGATGAGGTCGAAGACGGCCTTCCAGATGTCCACATCGGTCGCCTTTTCAATGACAAGTCGGATAAGTGCGCGGTAATGTTCGTAATTGCAGTCATCATTCTAAAGATAGGTGAACAATCTTGATAGCTCTGATGCCACATTTTTATCGCTCACTGGCGAACGAAGGTGGAAAGCTGACTTTTCACCCATCAAAGTGGTAAGGAGTTTCGATACTGCATCATGGCAGGCTTCACTGCTTTCCGTAGTTACATGGTTGTAATGATGCTCTGCCTCTGGAAGAAGCTTTTGTAATCGATCAAGTGAGTCATTCAACGGATATTTAGAATAACGACGTGATCGTCCTCCGACAAGTCTGCCATTTCCAGCAGCGTTGGGTGTTCAATAATTTTGTGACGAAAGTGTGGTTTGACAGAACATGGATAATCACGACTTAACTAACCAGCTAACTAACCAACCAGACATTTTAGAAGTCATCCCTTAGCAGTTGATCGTCAGTTGTGGACCTGTTTTAGATCAGTGATGCGGGATGGACATCTAGTCAAAACTTGAGAGGCCACGATTCTGGATCGCAAAACCGTGGCCTGACAGTGCAAGCGCCGCAACAAAACGACCGATCACTCAAAATAATATTTCGACAAAAATATCGTTGAAACGCTCCTTTGCTTAAAGTTTGAAGTCCGATCCGGATAGTGGCCATCTCCGGTTTGATTCACTGCGGTGAAGATTTTAAGGGGTTGGTGTTTGTTTGTGTTGGGATGGTGGAGGACTGGCTAGCTAACTAATATCCGCGTATATCACGTGCGGTGGGGCGGCTACCCGGGCAACCAGTTTGACTGAAATGGTTAGTCATCCGTGTTTGAGTAACTAGTTAACTAACTAACGTAATTCCACACCGAGTCGGCCACCACACTGAGTTGGCCACCAAATTTCTCCACCTATTAATTTAACTGCTCATTCAATTCAACATGCAATTATGTCATCAAAATGCAAGAAAAACTCTTCAAATTCAGTTGAGCAAGAGGGGAGGATTAAACTCATGATAAAATATATTCAAAATGATGAAAAGCTCTCAATTCATGAAGCTACAAAGCTATTTAATATATTTAGATCTACTTTTCAAGATCATTTCAAGCATTAGTTCTCACAGGTGAATTTATATGCAAACTCTCACAAATTATCTGCTGCTAAAGAGAATAGTTTAGTTAAATGAATGCTAGACCAAGCTAAATGAGAATTTTCTTCTCAGCTAGCATTTATTGAAAATATTGCTAATTATCTTTTTATCTTATAAAATTTCACTGTCTTCACTATCTCCTCCTTTCAAATCAGCAAGAACTAAATTTTAAAACTGATTAAATATTATACAGAGTTTCATAGCTGTTATTTCAGATACTATAATTATGACTGAGTCAAGTGTGAAGATCAGCAGATTATAAAAAATTGATTTAAGATCTTAGAAGATATAATTGCTGAGTATGAGATTGTGTCAGAGAATATATACAACTTTGATAAGATTGACTTTGCTATGAGACTCTGTGTCACTACTAAGATCATTACTAGTAGTGAGCACTATGACAGAGTAAAGTTTCTATAGTCTGAAAACTGTGAATGAGTGACTGTAATTGAATCAGTCAATACATCAGAATAAGCTTTATCTCTTTATCTCATTCTCAAAAATCAGAGCTTGTTGAAAGATTAGTTTGAAGATCTTTCAAAAGACTGAAGACTAGATGTCAGTTCAAATGACTAAATTACTGATGAAATAGATCTGAGATGATTTCAATGAATGTTTATTTCAACAGCAGATTTTTGCAAAGTTGACAGATCTATTTCTCTTATTCTGAATAGATATAGCAGTTATTTTATCTTAGAATTTGATCAAATCTACAAGAATAATACTATAATATGTTTTTGCATATTATCTCATTTCTCTCATCTTCTGCAGTCACTAGATATGAGTATTTTTTCAGTTTTAAAATAAGTATATGAAGATCTAGTTCAGTAGTGAATGTGACTTGAATTTAATATCATTCAGAAGGTAGATTTTCTAGATGTCTACTTTGCAGTATATACTGCAGTCTTCAAATCTCAGACTATTTAAAATAACTTCAAAATAACTGAAATAGTGCTTTTTCAGTCTGACTATATTCTTTAGCAGCTGAATATTTAACTATGAATTTCTACTCTCTCACACAGCAGCTTTAGCAATTTAATCATATTCTGAGTGCTTCAAGTATCTAGTAATCTTCAGCAATTACACTGACAGATAAATAAGATCAAAAACTTAGTGAAAAATCAGTCTTAAAACTTTGTGAAAGATTTTAATCAAATTATTAAAATCTGTGAATATAAGATAGTCAGTGCTACAATTATAAAAAAGTAATATCAGAATATATTCAATATTAATGAGATAGAGAAGTAAAAGTGCAAGAGATCTAGATACTAAATTGAGCAGAAAGTAGAAGATTTAACTAGTGAAGAAATTCAAAGTCTTTTAGTAGACTCTATAGAGTCTATAAAGTCTGTTAAATAGTCAGTTATTCAATCTCTCAAGTCTTCAGCTGCTAAGCCCATAACACATATATAAGTATCACAAAAATGCAGTAATTGTGAAATGCTTGAGCATACAAGACTAAGATATTCTTAATCAAGTGTAATTTAATTTAAATTAATTAAGCTTTATTGTGTTGAGATAATTTAAATTAAAAACTACTTAGTTGAAATACAGTGAATTTGCTGACTGATTCAATGTGATGATTAACTCAGTGTGAAATTATGTTAATTGTACTGCTGTGCAACCCACATCTTATGTGAATATATTACATCAAAATGATAAAAACATCAAAACAATAAAAATCTTGAATTATATTCTTATTATTCCACTTTATATCAACAATCAGTAGCTAATCTATAATAAAAACATTATCTATATCATTCTTAGTATATATATCATCTTTAAGTCAATTTAATTTCTCTTCTGTCAGTGATGTGAGTGAATTATTGTCAATTCTTATAAGATCAACTTCAAGTCTTTATCACTTTTTATTTTACTCTTTTTTAGCTTTATTATTCTTACAATACTTGATTTTTCTATTGACATCTTTAATAGTGAAGACTCTCTCTACTTGAATCTGATGATAAATTGTTTTAACTCTGCAGCATTTACTAATATTGAGAAAGTTTTTTAATTCAATGATCTATTACTTATTAAGTTTCACATGAATTAAACTTGTTTTGAATATCTTGTTTAAATGACATGTCAAAATAAGTGATTTTAATTCAAAAATATTTCTAATACTTTGTATAATATTTTTCATAATATTAATATGATATTTCAGCTTTTTAATTATTTTTAATGAGAATAACTGAGAAGAAAAGTTAAATATATAATCTGAATCATTCTCATCTTTATAAATCTATAGTGAAGGAGATTATAAAATTTACTACTTAAAAGTATCAAGAACTTGATCAGAATTTTATGAATATATATCATGTTGAGCTCATTCTACAGCTATTATATCAAATTTAAAAATTTATTTTTATATAGCTGAAAGATCTTGTAGAAACTGCTATTTTTCATACTTAATAATATCATGATATGCAGTATAGTTAACTACTTTTAAATAATAATACTTATATTACTGAAATAATAAACTATTTAAAAATTGTAGTAAATAAGTAACATACAATGAAAATTTATATAAAATTATTTTATAAAGATCTATATATTATATAAACTTTTTAGTGATATAATATTCATAATTATTTATTAAAAGTAATTAATGACTTTTCTTCTATCTTTTTTCTATAGCAGTATTAAAATATTTGAGTTATTTAAATTTAATCTCATCATTTATAAATTCAATATTTGATATAATAATTCTATAATTGCTAAGTAAATCTATCTATGTATATCAATTCTTTAAGTGTGTTTTGAAGATCAAAATTATCAATAATAAAAGATATAATTATTTATAAATATATATTTAATAACTGTAATCAAATCTTTTAAAAAGAATAAAAAATAATGAAATTAGCTTCTTTAAAAGTAGTTATAACTTATTTTTCATGTTTTTATTTTTTTTGAAATTCAATCTCATTGAAGTTATATATGTTATAAATGTGAAATTAATACTACTAAAATAGAATTTAAAAATACTCAAATTATATATTAATATATTCAATATCTTTAACTATTATTCTCTTTGAATTTATTAACTTCTATTTTATTTTCTTATATTTAAATAAATATTCAATGAATTTATAAGTTCATATCTTGCTGATTTTTGAAGAGAAGATAGTAGAATCTATATACTAATATCTGAGTATTGAATTCATGAAATCTTCAATGTATTTAGTTATGAGAAAATAATTCTTTTTATTAAGCAGTTTGATTCATTATTTAATCATATTCTTTTGACTCTCATTTAATCTTTTGTTGATTAAAATTTTTATAGTATTTGAATTCCTTTCATTGACATGTACTTAGAGACATTGATAAAAAAAACTTTAAATTCTTATGATAAAAATAATATTTTAAAATTTGAGTTTTTTTGATAATAAATGACAGCTTTTTAAATATAGTCTTTAATATATTTATTCTTATTTGATATTTTAATGAGTTATTAATTGATAAAAATGATAAAGATAATGAAATTATAAAATTTTTATCATTTTGATATTTTTATTATTTTGATATAATATACTCACATAAGTTATAGATTATGCAGTAGTATAATTAGTAATTAAATCAATTAATGTAATCTACCTCTGAGTAAACCACACTTTTAAATAAATTATTCTATTCAAAAAAACTTTAACTTTCTAACTTACTTACTTCAATATATGAAAATAGTATCAATTTATAATAAAAATATTAAAAACTTTATAGAAATAGAAAGAAGAATTAAACTCATAATAAAAGCTTTAAAAAATAATAAAATTATTTTAATTCATGAAGCTGTATATCTTTATAAAGTTTTATATACTACTCTATATCATAGACTTAATGACTGATCTACACATATAAATTTATATATAAATTCAATCAAATTAACTAAGTCTGAAAAAAATCAACTAGCCTAGTGAATTCTAAATCTTACAAAATAAGAAATACTTTCTCAGTTAGTATTTATTGAGAATATAATTAATTATCTTTTTAAACTTTGATATTTAATCTCTGTCTTAATTTCTATTTTTTGAATTGATAAAAACTAAATCTATAAGCTGATTAAATACTGTGTAAAGCTTTATTACTGCTATTTTAAATACTTTAATTATGAGTAAATTAAATATAAAAATATAGAAGTTATTGAGATTTGATTTAATATTTTAAAAAATATAATTACTGAGTATAAAA